AGTCCGGGCCTGTAAACAACCCGTCGCGCTCTGTCTCACGCACCCCTTCGGAACGCCCCAAGAGCGCGAGAGAGACAGAGCTACGGCAGCCCTGTTCGGACAGCCCGCTGGCGCCGGCCGCCCGTTGGACGCTGTCCACGCGGCGTGCCTCGTTCTGTAGACTGATGCCGAGAGTCGTTCTCGTCGCTCTGTCTCTCTCGCACCTGTGCGGGACGCCCCAAGAGTGCGGGAGAGACAGAGCGACGAAAACGACTCTCGGAATCAGTCAGTGTGCTGCCCCGCTCGGCGTGGGGTGGCGCGGTGCTCGCGTGGTCGACCGGCCTGTCGTCCACTCCGGTCCACGACGCCCCGCCCCACCGGCCGGGCTGGGCCCCCGCAGCCCCCGCAGCCCCCGCAGCCCCCGCCGACTAGTCACGTATCTGCGACAAGCGCAATAAAGATACATGGATTATCTCTTAGTGACTTCATCCCGCCCCCAGCCTGCCCCGGCCAGGCCGCTGGACCGCGGGGGCGCGGTGGCGCGGTGGAAAGGGGGGGGGGGGATGCAGCAGCAGCCCAAGTGCGTCTGTGTGTTACCGGGGCCACTTATGCCCCTCTGATGCGTTTGGGTAAGTGTGTGCGCGCGAGAGAGACAGACCCCGTTTCTGTGTGCGTCTGTTCCCGTGTGCTGTGCGTCCGTCGGTCCCCTCTCTCTCTCTCTCTCTCTCTCTCTCTCTCTCTCTCTCTCTCTGCCTCTCTCTGCCTTTCTCTCTCTCCCCCCCCTCTCTCTCTCTGCCTCTCTCTGCCTTTCTCTCTCTCCCCCCCCTCTCTCTCTCTGCCTTTCTCTCCCCCCCCCCCTCTCTCTCTCTCTGCCCCTCCAGACTCCGTATTGCAGAGCAAGGCCTGAACGCAGTACAAGCCAGCCGACCCGCCTTTCACTGGTTCTTTATTTCGTCTCGGCCGGCGCCGGCGGCACAAACTGTGCATGCTTTCCTCGCTTTGTCTCTCTCGCACCCCTAGGGGACGCCCCAAGAGTGCGAGAGAGACGGAGTGACGAAGGCACTGTGTGGGATCACACCGTGGTCGCGAGATCGACCCTATCTGAACCGCGCCCCGCCATGCCTTTTACAGTGTGAGGGCAGTACGTCCTTCTGGGCCTCCTCGGACCGAAGAGCGAATCCATTAGGCCAATAAAAGGCCGCGGTCCGGTCCATTCGTCAGCCGAGCGATTCAGACGAGCGGTTCGTCGCTCTGTCTCTCTCGCACGCTTATGGAGAGCCCCGTGAGTGCGACAGAGACAGAGCGACGAAACGACTCGTCGGCACCGCTCGGCTGCCCCAAGGACGGCCAAGGACGGACCGACGAGGAGGCCGAGGACCGGACTTTAAAAGGGTTGTCACCACGCGTCTCGAACACGCGATATGAATGGGGTGGTCTCGTTTCTCACGCTCATCCATGTGCCTTGTGCCTGCGCTCTAGAAGCCAGTAGGCAAAAACAGAGTTCACTCGGGTGGCCAAATCGCCGTCGCCTGCCCACAAGAAAAACTTTTGGGCGCGTGGTGAAGCCTGCGGCCAAATTGAGACGGCTGAAGGTGATGGTTGACAACCCTCTCGACACCCCGGAGCATCCAGTGCTGTTACTTATTTGGCCAAAAAACGTACGTGTTTGCTAGCATCAGGCTCCTGCCTCTTTCAAACTCAATTTTGAAAACAAAACACAAAAATTACAATAGTTAAAAACCGTCGTCAACGCCTCAAGAAACCGTTTCTTGAACCAATACGATAATATACGTGTATCAAGTGAATTTACTTGGATGTTTCAAGTAAAATTGCTCAGTTTTCTAGGTTTGAGAAACAGCTTTTTTTGGGTGTATCGGGCCCTGGCATGGTGGACGGTGACGGCGTCCACTGCACTGCCAACCCCAGCTCGGCACGGCGGCACGGCATAGGCGAGCCTTGCCACACATCTCATCCCCGCGGCCCGCGCAGGCCGCCAGGCCACGGCCCACAGGCCACGGCCCGCCCACGCCGCCCTTGCCCGCAAAGACGATGACATCTCACTTTCATTTTCGTAATAAAGTTGTTCATTAAAATGCAACAATGTTGGCCGATAAGCCAGGCCGCGCATAAGTCGGGCCAAGTCGGCCCCGCCACTATAAACTCTAATGCTTTATCGGCCAGGGTGGCTGCGCTATGCTGCGCTATGCTGCGCGACTCCGCCCCAACCCGCTACACTATACAACCCCTGCTGCCTCGGAATCCACCGAAACGGCCTCCCAAGAAAGTCCTTAAAATGCCTCCAATCCACTGCACTCTAAAAATCTTTCGGTGAAAGGCTGCACCTCCATGGTGCAAAAGTCAATGTTCAGTGGTAAGCTACAAAGTCGCTTCACCAACATAGATAGAGAATTCTCACCATGATGTGGAGAATCCAGGAGGATCTTTACAATAATACGGAGAATCTAGGAGGATCTTTACCATAGTCTTAGGGATGGTGAAGATTCTCCTTAAGATCTCCTTAAAGGTAAAGATCTCCTTAAAGGTAAAGATCTCCTTAAAGGTAAAGACCTCCTTAAAGGTAAAGATCTCCTTAAAGGTAAAGACCTCCTTAAAGGTAAAGATCTCCTTAAAGGTAAAGATCTCCTTAAAGGTAAAGTTCTCCTTAAAGGTAAAGATATCCTTAAAGATAAAGGAGGATCTTTACCTTCAAGGAGAATCTTCACCAAGTTCTTCACCATAAATGGTGAATCCAGGAGGATCTTTTCATGGAGATTCTTCACCATCCCTTCAAGACTTTCAGAGTGTGCAAGCAATGTGCAACCTAACCAACCAAACCCCGATGCAGACCTTCCACCCGTTTGCTCACACGCTACACCGTCCGTCACTCGGCGAGCCTGGGCCCCCGCAGCAGGCCCCCGCAGCAGGCCCCCGCAGCAGGCCGCTGGGCCCTCGAGAGAGCGCCCGGCCAATTCGCACCACAATATTTTTGCAACATCGGCAATGGTTATATTACGTAATTTACAGATGGCGATTTTGCGAATGCAGCGCGGCCGAGTACTTTTCCCTGTACGACACCTTTCTCCCTGATAACACCGCTTTATTATAGCGCCCTCCGGATGAACTCTGTGTGTGTGTGAGTGTGAGTGTGAGTGAGTGTGTGTGTGTGTGTGTGTGTGTGTGTGTGTTTGCGCCAGGACAAACGGCGTCAAATGAAATACGAAGGCAGCGGGCTGCGTTTGGATAACAACAACAATCCATTACATGTTTGAGTTCGACGACTCACTTTGTTCCGATAGGCAGCGGCGCACCATTGGCGACCTGGGCGTCGTCTTGTACTTTATGTATACCCGTTCGGTGGATGTTTAAATCAGCCGCAGAAATTCATTTTGTAATTTTTTCCTCGTTTTTGTTTTTGTGGTTTTTTTTCAGGCGGGAGATCTTTCTCCCCGCACGCGTGCGGGAAACACTTTTGTTGGTAAACAAACAAATGCAGGGCACGGCGGCGCTGCTATCGCGGCTTTCATTATGTATGGATCCAGCCACACGTGCCCAGGAACCCAGCAACGCGCCGCGAGTCGTGCCCTGGCGGGGCGGGGCGGGGCGGGGCGGGGCGGGGCGGGCGGGGCGGGGCGGGGCGGGGCGGGACGGGGCGGGGCGCGGCAAAAGTACCTCCGCAAAATACAGGTGTCGTACAAATGGCAAATTAGTTCCAGGCGGAGGCGGGCCGGCCGGACCCTGCCCGTCAGCGATACATACTGTGGCGAGCCGCCTCCAGGATACCCAAATCGTCGACGTCGACGTGATGTATACGTCGCTAAACAGTTTTCAAGTTTCCAGTTTCAAGTTAGGGGTTCCAGCTAGAAGCCTGGGGTTGGCTACATCCGTATCTTGGAAGGGTAGGGAGTCCTCAGGAGGACCATGCCAGAACGCTCAAAATATCCTTTGCATGTGTCAAATAAAAAGGGATGACTCGACGCGGACAAGTGAACGGGCCCCACGAGGGGCAAATCATCATACGGCGTGTCCAGAGAACGAGGGAAGACCCAGCGTCCGCTGGCTGGCTGGCTGGCTGGCTGGCTGGCAGGCGCAGTGCTGAGACTCTGGGTCTGAGACCGGCGGCGCGGCGGCGCGGCGATGCGGAGCAGAGCGTTTTAGCATTCCGGCCGTTGACTCCACGCGGCGTCCATAACCACCCACAAGGCCGTCCCGCCCCGCCCCGCCCCGCCCCGCCCCGCCCCGCCCCGCCCCGCCGCGGCGCGCTCCGCGCCTGTCGAAGCCGCCTGACTGGTGGCAACACGGAGGTGTGCGGAGAATCAAGTGCCGCCTAGCTGCATAGAGCGATTCGGCGCTGTTTGGCGTCGCGCTGTCTCTCTCGCACCCCTACGCAACGGCCAACGAGAGCGAGAGAGACGGAGCGACGGGACCACCGCCAGCTGGGCCATCCTATCGTCGCGCGGCCGCAGGGACAAAATCAACAGAGAATCGTCGCAGAATCACGAAAGGACGCAGCTAAGATTTCAATTTTTCGCGGCGGCCCTTTTGTCTTGGACCGCTTTGGTGGAAGTCCTTACAGTGCACAGTGGGCCAGAAGATCGGTGGAGGCGTCAAAAATTCTAGACGCGTTTTGAGCTCCAGAGTCGTTAAGTGGGACTCGAACCCAGCGTGTGACCCCATCAATAGATTGCTCTCCGAACGAGGAATCCATTGGTGCGGTCACACGTTCGATTCGAGTCCTGTTTAGTGACACTGGAGCTCAAAACGGGTCTAGAATTTTTGACGCCTCCACCGGTCTTGGCCCACTGTGCAGTGGTGCCGGCGCCGAGAGCCACGCCGACGGACGCGAGGTTCCATTCGCTGCCGCGGCTGACGCCGCTGCCCCCTCCACCGGCCGGCGCCTCCGCGGCCCGCCCCGGCGCCGCCCACCCCTCCCCTCGCCCCGCCCCCGGCCGGGGGGCCGCTGGGGGCCGCGGCGCGGAGGCGGCGCCCCGGCCGGCCTGGCCGCGCTCAGTGCTTGGCGCGCCTCCGAGCAGACCGGAGAGCCGCACCGCCGCGTCCCGTGTCTTCGAGGAGCCGCGCGGCCGCGGAGTGGACCAGTGACTGTGTGTGTGTGTTGTGTCTGTGTGCGTGAGTGTGAAGTGGCCAGTCGCAAAACGAAGTGTGGCAAATTTTGTGAAACAACTAGAAACAACAGCAACAACAACTTACAGTTCTGTCGGTGGAGAGTGAAGTGATAAACCAGTGCCTCCACTGGACAAACCCGTAGTCGTGTGCCTCCTCAGCCGCCGACCCACCGGACGGCGGCCGTCTTCAGCGAGGCGGCGTGCTCGGCCACGCCGGTGTCGGTGCGCACCATGGCGGAGTACGGCATGACGACGACGTGCACGGCTTGACGGCGTCCTGGACGGCGTGACGGCGGCGTGAACCGTCGTCCCGGCCCGGCCCTGTGGGCGCAGTCTCCGGCCCGGCCCTCTTATCGCTGCGACCCATCGAGGGGATCCTTTGCAGGTGAGTCCCGCAGGCCAAAGGCAGGCCAAAGGCGCCAAAGGCAGGCACGCGCCCTGTGTGTGTGTCCTCTGCGTCTGTGTGAGTGTCCCCCGTGTCGGTGTGAGTGTCCCCCGTGTCGGTGTGAGTGTCCCCCGTGTCGGTGTGAGTGTCCCCCGTGTCGGTGTGAGTGCGACCTTCGTCGCCGGATGCGACAGCAGATCAATCTAGGTTGGTTGTGACGTGACGACCTTATTGAAGCGCTAATGAGACTGATAACCAGTCGCGCCCCTCGGGGACCGAGTCGGAGACCCTCTCCTTGTCCAGCAGGCCGCTCCGTCGCGCTGTCTCTGTCGCTCTCCGGCGGCGCCCCGAACGGGTGCGAGAGAGACAGAGCGATGGAACGACTCTGCTGCGCGGTGATGGAGGAGGAGAGGGTATTATTTGTCCGTGTGCGACACGACGAGCAAAGCAGCAAACGCGTCACGGAGAATGTCAGCTCAGGCTTCCCAGTGCAGGTGCCGTTGTCAGCGCGTTAAGGTCTCCCAACTGGAGACACTTTTTAGAGTCGAACCGATGCACAGTGGGCCAGAAGACTGGTGGAGGAGGTCGAAATCCCGGACGCGTTTTGAGCTGCAGAGTCGCTAAATGGGACTCGAACCGAACGTGTGACCCCACCGATGGATTGCTCTTCGAACGAGGAATCCATTGGTGGGGTCACACGTTCGGTTCGATCCTGTTTAGCGACTCTTGAGCTCAATCTAGAATTTTTTGGCCACCTCCACCCGTTTTTTGGACCAATGGGCGATGCAGCGATGTAAAACTAACTTTGATCACTGGCTCCATTAAAACCTTGTGAAGTGATTGGAGCATATGTTGTACACACGTCTTGTTATTGTTATTAGAAAAATGAAATCGCTTGCAGACTGCTTAAAATACTTAGTTTGTGACAAGCTATACTTTTCTTGGTACCTAAAGTGGTCAGTAAGGGTTGAGAATGTGTCGAATGAATGGAAAGAAAAATATTCAGAAGAAAACCCTGAGAAATGGTGAGGCGATGACATTGTTCCCGGCGGAGTGCGGCGGTTCACGCGAGGTTGACTTGCACTCATTTTGAGAGCGCCGCCGGAAGTGCGAAGAGGCGTTCCCGCCATCAAGGCGGTGTGCAACTGATTCCGAGAGTCGTTTTCGTCGCTCTGTCTCTCTCGCACCCATACGGGACGCCCCATGAGTGCGAGAGAGACAGAGCGACAAAAACGACTCTCGGAATAAGCCTGCTTGTAACAACGCCGGAAGCGGAATTATGACTTACAGCGGGGAAAAATATCAACGTGAATGATGGGTCAAGTTATCTCGTTATTCGGAGTCGCCATGAAAGCACCTCATTATGATTTTTCTGCTGTCTTGCCACTGTGGCTCCCCGCAACCAAGCGCCGAATTGAAACTCAGCAGCTGAAGGCACTGTCAATACAAGGCCAGATACGACAGGTGCTTGCGCCGTGGTCCTGATTGTGTGGGTTTCCTGCGACCTGGTCAATGGGCATCCCCTAAAGCGCGGACCATGGATAGGTTCGTGTTTTCGTTTCTGTTTGACGAAATCAGTGAAATTACGCGTCCGGTGTCCCTTTGCCTGTCCTCTTTGACTTGTACGAACACGCCCGCTAACAACAGCGCACCCTGATTCCGAGAGTCTTTCACGTCGCTCTGTCTCTCTCGCATCTTTATGGGACGCCCCGGGTGCGCGAGAAAGACAGAGCGACGAAAACGAACGACTCTCGGAATGAGTCTGCGTCACGTTACGTGGAATTGTGGACAAGTCTGACGGCGGCAGCGAGGCGGCGCGCAGCCGATGCCGCGAGGCGATGTCACTGTGCCAGTCTAGACACGGCGTGCAGTGTGGTGGCTCCACTCCACTGCAACAGTCCGGCCCGGACGCCCCCTGCGGCGCGCGGCACACTGACAGTCGTTTTCGTCATCAGTCTGCTCCGGAGTCCTGTGGCGCTTCTGGAGCCTCGGCCGGTGCGGCGCAGGGTGCCAATGCACTGCGAAAAAAGTTCAAATCAACAAAAAGGAAACGAGACGCAAGCGTCGCACGGTGACGCGTCACGACACCCAGCCATAATCGTAAATAACTCCCAGTGCACGCCGCCACCTCGCCGCGACGACGGCGTCCAGGGTGGAGCCCAGGGAGGAGCCCAGGGTGGAGTCCAGGGTGGAGCCCAGGGCGGCTTGCTGGCCAAGCTGGCCACCAGGGGCTACTTCCGCGCGTCCAGCCCGCGGAGCCTCCCGCGGCCACTCCAACCGAGCACTTCCGGGCCGAGGCCAAGCCAGCGGCGCCAAAAAACGACTTCTCGGCTCCAGCCATCGAGTGGGACAGCAACGTGGCCGGGCCGGCGGCGGTCCATTCAATTGGCAAAGACAACGACACGCCGTGGCGCGCCAGGCCGAGTCAATGGGAAGAATTTGGGGAATGTGTCGCTGTACGGCCACCACCCACGCCTGGGCCCGGAAGGACCCGCCTGCGAGAGTGTGAGTGTCAGTGTGTGTGTGTGTGCGTGTGTGTGTGCGTGTGTGTGCTACCCAGGTCGTTTTTATGGGGATGGTGGAGGGAGCGCTACCTGTAATTAAGCGTTTGACCCTCCCCCTCCCCTCCCCTCCCCGCCGAGCCCTTGGCTGGCGCCTGGCTCGCCTGGCCCCTCCGCCGACCGGGACGCGCGACACAATGTCAGCTGGGCCTGTGGGGGCACCACTGGGACACCGAGGGGGGACACACTGCTGCAGACTGATTCCGACATTCGTTCTCGTCGCTCTGTCCCTCTCGCACTCGCGGGGCGCGTCCGGTATAGGTGCGAGAGAGACAGAGCGACGACTCTCGGAATCAGTCTGCTGCGGTGCCAAAGGAAAGGGGAGGGCAGGCCAAGTCAGTCTGGCTGCGGCGCCGCGGCCCATTTTTACTCCCCGTGAATGTGTGTAAGTACGTATACCCTCTCAACAATTTTCAAAAAGGGTCGTTGCTTTTGATTTCGATTTTTGTGTGTGTAGTCAGGAGTGAACAGGAGCTGCTGTCTTGTTTTGAAGTTGTGCTAATTTATTTGTCATCATTGTAATTTTATGAAAATCTTCACGCCATCATTTAGCTTCCTCGATCGAAATAATAGAACGGGTTCAAGCAAAACCACAGTCCGCAGTCATAAATGTGGAACATTATGCAATAGTTTTATGATTGTACACTATTGTAGTCGTCAGCGAAAAAACACCCTGACCATATTTTTCATGGTTTACCTGCTATGGTTATTGCTGGACCCATTCGGTTTTATAGGTTCAGCAATTAAGAAGAAAACAGCAGAAAAATCCTGCTTTGATGTATTTCGAGAAGCCATCCCCCGAGACGCCTCGTTAGAGGCTGTTCGCCGAATGGTGCCGAATGGGTGCCGAATGGATTCGCACGGAACGATAGCGAGGCTAGCGCCACTCCACCGGAAACGCGTTGGCGCGCCAACCCCGTGACGAATTCACCATTCGGTGACTCCGGGGCTCGGGCTCCACTTTGTCCCAGTGTCCCACACTGTTGTCTCCGCGCGCGGGGCGCCGCCGCCGAACTTCGTCGCTGTCTCTCTCGCACTCACGGGGCGTGCCGTAGGGGGTGCGAGAGAGACAGAGCGACGGGTCCCTGTCGTCCGGGGCGCGCAGGCGCCGTCGGCGACGAGGCCGCAGAGGATCACAGACTGAATAAAAAGGCCGCTTTTTACGGCGGGTCTCGCCTCAGTCTTTGTCTCCCCGAGCAGTCAGTAAAATCGCAATAAATTGGGACATCGGGGCAGAAGGGCCTCGTCTCGACGTGTGCCGTATGGCCAGTCAATTTTTTATCCGGCCAGTCTCCATCCACTCCAAGTGCGTAGGACACGCACTCAGAGCTGTCGCGAGCACTTCAGTGCCCCGTTACTGACCAAAACACCGCCGGCAAGTCGCAAACCGCGTTCAATTTCATGATTAAATTACCCTATGTTTCGGTGAACACTTGCGTTGCATGAGTACAGGTGGATATTTCAGCTGAAAAGACTCTGAATTTCACAATTTTAATCGTTTGGGGCAATAATTAGCCGTTTTTCAGCACAAACAGTGCCAAATCGTGTAGAAATATAATTATTTTTGCTCTTGTGAAGTAATCACTTCGATGAGAACGGGCCAATGTGTATACACGAAAAAAAAAGCCGTTTCTTGAACCAAGATAATAAGTACAAATGCTTATAAAATGCTTATCAAGTAAATTCACTTACATTGCAAGTAAAGTTTCTTGGTAGGAGAAAGGGCTTTTTTGGAGTGTACTTACGCTAGTCATTCACCCGTCCGCATTCGAGAGCCGGGGCAGAGGCCGCCAAGCGTATATTCTCTCGTGTTCTCTCAGAGCACTCCATGCCGGCTCGCAGTCAGCTGAGGTTCAAAGCCAAGAAAAAACAATGAGGAACTGGACCGGCGTCGAACCCACGGTCGCGACGGACGGGCGCCTTTGGGTGCCGTGCCGCCCTGCGGTGCCGCCCGGACGGACGCCGCGTTTGTAAATCGACCCAAATGAAAGACACGACGGCGGACACTTCCTCCCACCCTAAAAGGCAATCAGGACCCCCGAATACGATCGCCGGAAATAGGGACGTTAGACGGGACGCTACACGGCGACACCTTAAAATGCTGTACGAGGGGCCCACGGTGCAGACTGACTCCGAGAGTCGTTTTCGTCGCTCTGTCTCTCCCGCACTCGTGTGGCGTCCTGTGTGGGCGCGAGAGAGACAGAGCGACTAAAGCGGCTCTCGGAGTCAGTCTACGAGGTCCGGGGCGGATCTCGGAGGCCCCGTCTAGCCCGGAGGAGTCCGGAGGAACTCCCAGGAAGTGTTCTGGACGGGCCGGGACGCGCAGCATCACGTCAGCGGGGCAATTTTTACTGGTCTGGTTTCTGGACGACCGCAAATCATCGCTCGCGCGTCTCGCATCCAAAAAAGGGCGTTTCTTGAACAAAGGTAACATGCTTG